GTAATTTATTAAAATAATTTAAATGTACATTTTCAAATTACACAGGTTATTGAAAATAACTGATCTTTTGCTAAATAAACTGTAAATGCAAAAATAAATGCTACAATACATGTATTTACAATACGTGTGTATTTATATTTCAAATCTGATTGATATACATAATCATGTTTTACAAGTATGCATTACCGACACTTTGTAGATATAGCACATATCGGAACCAAAAAGTGGACATAGCACGGAAGAGACCCAAAAGATCGTGGACATTACCTACGGGATTCGTGGACATTGGCTACGTAGTTCAATGTGCACGTTTTGTGTACGTAGAGGCGCTAGCCCACAGAAACACGAAAAATGCGGGCATGTCCACTCTCAGTCTTCTCTCTGCTGAGAACAATCTGAGAATATCGCAGAAGTATAATTGTAATATTCTCAGAACATTCTCAAATGTACTGCGATGTACGTAATACGTTCTAGGAATCATCGTATGTCCGCGGTACCATCTTCCATAGAATTTCGAGGAAGGTCTATAGTTTAAAGACAGTATCAAGATAGGATAAAAATGGGAATGTTGCAGTAGATCACATATACATGCACACATTTACACAGCCAAGCGCTGAAACGCGCGCGCGTTTATATATTGTATAGGATAATTTAGATTAGGTTAATTAATCAGTCAATTTCTTATTAATTGATATTTTTATTTCAAAATTACGACCGTAAACGTAAAAATATTTACATAAAACTTACAATATAAAATAAAGTTCTAGAAGCCTAAGCTAGAGAACTTCAAAGGAACGATACTGCGAACTGAAAACAGTTTTATGTTAAATCATCTTTTTAAGACATTGTTTAAAAAATAATTAAGAAAATGTATTGTATATTTAACCAAGAACTAAAGAGGTGAGAGGCAATTATAATGCAAGTTTACGAACATAACCTTAAAATATTTTAAGCAAAATAATTTAACAAGTACATAAAAATAATAAAATATTACAAAATCATATACAAACACTATCTAGCTTTTACACTTTATTCACTATTTTGTGAAATAAACTTAAAGGAAAAAGGATCACCTTCGATATCAGTAAAACCTCGGATACGTGGTGTTGCGTGGTGTCACTTGATGCCGGGCAAGCGGGAAAAGACCGGAAATAAGAATTACGTATGTAAATGGCGCAGGTTAGTGCTGGTCTCGTCAAATCTGAGATTATACGCGCGCGATAGAAGTGCGTACGTATCACTTTCGTACGTTTGAGTCAAACCTGAGATTATACGTGTGCGAAAGAAAACCGAATAATACTGCAAAAGATATTATAGGATTGATCTCAGTATTTAACGGATAATCACAGTAAAATAAGTATGAAAATGGGATGATACGCAGGATATCGTGTGCTGTTAGGGTTCGGCACAATCTTCTTTTAAAAATTTAAAGGGGAGAAGTTTTCTATCCTCCCTAAAAGATATAAAATTTCCAAAGGTTGGATCACTCTCGAAAAATAATGGAAAAGAAAATCAGATTACATATGTAACAATTGAAGAGCTACTGGATAAAATCTAACATTTTAATCCAAAAATAACGATTAATGTTAAGAGTAAAAATAAACCATCTTCGAAAAATTTGGCGTTATCGAAAATTAGGACTCAGGAAACGATAGATAAATTTATGCGCAGGAGGAAATCTAAACATAAACATGAAAATGTGAAAAAATTAGTGAAAGATTGCATGGAGAAGTTAACTCCGCGTGAAAATCTAAATCAAGACGCTGTTAACACTCCAGCCCGTAGCAAGTGTCTAGTAGTAGCAGAAAAATCTGGAAAGGATCGTCTTACAAAAATCGTCGACCTACTACGTTTGGAACACTTAAACACACGAGAAAAAGAAGGCATAATAAGGCTTATTACACAGAGTCAAGACCGATTTCACATACCTGGAGAAAAATTAACTGCCACTCAAATATTACAACATCAAATTATAACAACGGATGATCGACCGATAAACACAAGGCAATATAGATTTCCGCAATCTCATAAGGAAGAGATAAATAAACAAGTAGAAGAACTGCTGACAGGAGGTATAGTTAAACCTTCACAATCACCGTATAATACACCCATATGGATAGTACCCAAGAAGGAAGATTCGAAAGGAAATAAACGCTGGAGAATGGTTTTAGATTTCCGAGCTTTAAATGATAAAACAATCGGAGATGCTTATCCATTACCGAATATTGTCGATATTCTTGATCAATTAGAAGGAGCGCAATACTTCTCCGTATGTGATTTAGCTTCCGGATTTCATCAAATAAAAATGGATCCTGCAGATGGCCATAAAACTGCTTTCACCACTCCTTTTGGACATTATGAATTTGATAGAATGCCTTTTGGATTAAAAAATGCACCTGCTACTTTTCAACGTTTAATGGATC